GTGACGTAATGACGCAGTGCCATGCTCGAATTTCCCGCGAAAACCTACCTGTACCACTCAAATTAGAAATCATTATTATAAGATAACCATTGTGAATCGGGCTAAAGTAAGGCGATAGTTTTGAACACTGGCTGGTTATGTACTTGCTCAAATATTGATTTCGGATCATTTTTAACCAAAAAAAGTTATGGACTGCAGCTTTAAAATAGACCTACTTAATTACTCAATTAAAAGTAAACTAACCATGTTTCATTTATTTTCCCTCCAATAAAATGTCTTTGGAACAACAGCAAAGACATAATACATAATAAACACATAATAATGGTTTCAACTCACACTTGAAGTCTCCTTAAATTATCTATTTTTTTCTTTACATTTAATGCAATATATTGCAGTATTTTTCTGACAGACGCATCCACTTTAGAAAATTGGGAGACTGTTTCAGTGTCTATTATATAAAGTAGTTTCTCATATTTATTTGATATCCATTTCAATTAGTGCAAAAATGCACTCGGTTTTTATTTTCAAACAGCCGTTTAGCACCTTTTTATATTTTAGTTTTTAGTTTTCAATTTTCACAGTTGCTTCCCCCCTTCAGTAAAGTGGTACAGTCCGCTCATTCTGAGCAGCGCAGCAGACAGAGATGAAGCGAATAACAGTCCGGGAGAAGATGGACTACATACCTATATACTAAACCGCACTAAACTGGATCATGGTTTTGTTACACGGATTCTGGATTCTATATATACTATTTTCACGTGAGTTATTAATCACTATTCTATTTGGTCGCGACATAGAAATATAGAAAACTAAAACAGCTAAAGCAACAGGTTGAGAGCTTAGAAAACCTTGAGCTCGGCTTTATTTTTAGATTGATCACGGGTCCTTGTGACGGATTTTACTATTATCCATTTTCATTTAAAACTGACAATGCATTTACAATTTACACATTTTTTAAAAATTAAATAAAATCTCCTTTTTACACTTTTTATTGTTAAATTAGTCTGTTACATAAAAACCTTTTACAAGTTTCAAGTTATTAAAATTATTACTGATTTAAATCAATTTGTATTTCTGTTCAACATAATTTATTCATCTTTATTAATGATTATTATAAAATGCCTGCATATGTGTAATGTATAAAAGGGACTTCACAACTCTTTAATTATAGGGCATAGACAAACATTTAAACTATTTAACATCCCAAAGTTTAATTGTGGGAGAGAATTGTAGGAAGTGCTGTTGAAATGTGTGTCAGGGAGTGCAGCTGCATTGTATCAGTTCTTGGATGGGTGGATGCAACAATACAATATATGATGGTTGTTTTATGAGCATTTCAGTGGCCAACTCTGTGAACTAAAACTACACTTTTAAAAAATCCCTCTCAGTGAAGAGAACGTGTGAATTTGTATAAATATTGTAGGAAAAAGTTGTTTTGAATTGGTAAAGAGCTGAATACTATTTTCAATATTATGTAACGCCTCCCTGTAATAGTTTAGTTAGCATCAGCAATTCATTAACACATATAATCAGATAAAGTTGTCTTCTACTAAAGGCTTGGTTTAAATCTCTTTAACCTAATTGGGTGTTCATGGATGACCGAATCAACGAGTGTATCTTATTGGTGGGACCTCAACATCCCCCTCCTGCACTGAGCCTTAGTGGGTGGGGGTTCACCATAATGCCAAACAATGAGTCAAACAGAGAGGACAAAAGGAGGACCCCATCTACCCTGAACGGAGCATTAATGAATGTATTCTAGAATTCTCGCCTGTATTCCCCTCAGCAACACGATCATTCTAAAGTACATCTGGAAAATGCTCAGGAAGTTGCTCCATTTCCTCTAGGTCAACAATGAATGAGTAAAGATCTCATCCAAACATCTGTGGTGACTGGCTGTTGTATATTTTTATGCAGTGTGCTCCACCCTTTGACAAGAATTAGAGTATCTCTGTGTGAGAGACCTCCTCCCTACTTGTACTCAACTTGATCTGTTGTAAGAGTTTTCTCAGAATATTTCGGTTTCACCATCCCACTCAGACAGTCAGAGATGGTGACGTCTCTCCAAAAAATGACAGCCCCCGCCTCTCTGCACCCCCTGCATAGCATGGAATTGAACTTTCTTTACTCACACTTCTTTCTTTCTTTCTCACTCTGTGTTTTCCACATCAGCAGATCCTCCTCTCGGGTGCTTCTCTGATTTTGTCCAGCTTTCTGTTCCATAATCTCCCAACATGGCTGGACAAATACACTCTTTCATGCTTAGAAACACACACACACACACACACATACACACACTCAATTGCTGACTGACTGGATCCAGATGTTTTTAGGCATTTGTTTTCAGGTCATCTATCATCTCACCTTGTAATCTCTAGCTGATAAAGTGAATTCCCTTTGGAATGGTGTGATTAAGCATTCTCGAAAAGAGGCACTAAGCAAAATCTTTTTTTTTTTTTTGGCCTAGACTGAGAAAGGGCTTTTGGTAATGAGCACATGCCTGTCTCTGACACTATGAAACGTACCATTACACTTAAACACCATAATACTAATCATGAACAGGTCAGTAGTCATTACTGTTGCTGCTGAAAGCACACTGTATCTTGGAATTTGCATTACTCTCTATGCTCATGAGTGTGTTTGCCGTTCACCTGAATTCTATGAAAATGATACAGTTTTGTCTAATTTGTCTACTTTATAACCATTAGAGGCACAATAACATTTTCTTTTTTGATAACTCTCAGACACGAAGGAGCACAACTGTCACCCTTTCAAAAGGTACTAGTAAAATGTAATGCTTTTAAAGTACTAATATGTATTATCCTACAACAAGCATAACCTACAAAAAAGTAGCTTGTTTTAAACACACCCAATGTCAAACACTTAAAGGGGTCATATGATGCTATTTCAAGTTTTCCTTTCTCTTTGGAGTGTTACAAGCTGTTCGTAAATAGATAAGATCCCTAAAGTTGCAAAGACTAAAGTCTCAAACCCAAAGAGATATTCTTTATAAAAGTTAAGACTGGTCCACTCCCTTTTAAAACGCCTGGTTTAAACATGCCCCCACATGTCTACGTCACGATGTGGGAAGATTTGCATAACACCACCCAAATGTTCACGCAAAGAAAGAAGACATAACTTTTATACTTGCTGTAGTATTGTTGCTGCCGCCACCATGTTGTGGAGTACTTCTAGTATACTTTTTAGAAATATATTAAAATGCAATTCAATATATTTTTATTGCACTTCAAATAAGCATGTTGGGAATACAAATGTATTATAAACATACTACTTGAATTTCAAATATGTTTTTAATACATTTAATACTACGTCTTTTTCACCTGGGTGTATTTACAACACTGT